GATGAGCTTTGTAAAAATCGACGCGTTTCAAAAAGGCGGGGCATAGAGGAGAAACAATAATGTACAGTATGTGGAAAATAATGTGTTTTTTTTACTTTAAACCGCATAAACACATTTCATTACACCAAATACACAAAATAATGTTCTTTTTAGCATATGACCCCTTTAAGCTACTCTGAAAAACATAGACAAATATATTTAGCCACTAATATGACACTAACAAGTAATTATTATCAGTTACTGTAGAGATCATAAGATCATAAGCTCTCACTGGCATCAAACTGTGGCTTGTCTTGATTTCAACCTTCACACAAAACAGGTCTTTAAGAGCAGAAAATACAAAGGTCAATCTGATTTGACTAAAATATAAAAATGAACCAAGACATATCTATTTCTCAGGACATCAGAGATATCAAGGAGTTTCGAAGTTCCTAGAAACATATCTGAAAGGAAAACTCCTGCTGAACTTGTATTTATGAGTCCCAGAACCAAGGGAGTTGTTCAATTTAAAAGATGAAGTACTCCGCTTAGAGCAGTTTCAATTGTCAATGATAAAGTGCCTAAACACCTTTGTGTTCTTTTATGAAACCTTTTATTGAATATGGAAAAAGATCAAGAACAAGAAGAAGTTGGGAATTTGCATTTCAGCCCCGTCGGCAGTGAATCATTACACACTCGACTCACAAGAGCACACGGCCATTAACTTCTGCGGGACGCTCCTTAAGCGTCCCTTTTGTGCATTCAACACAACATGCATTCATCATCTCCTCAAACACAAAGTCTGAGCATTTTCTCCTCCAAGAAGGTCAGAAATATATCAAATATTTAGGAGATATGAGGGGCGCCGCTGTTTTTATGCTCCGTGTGTGTGTTTTTGATATTGGCTCAGCATCAAAAACAGGGCTGCGGTTTGATACCAATGAAATGTCAACAGAATAGAGTAGCAGGATGTTTAGATAATGGAACATTAGTATTTAGGCGGGTCAAGTGTGTAATAAAGAGATATATATTACAGTATACAGTGAACACTACAAATGAGACCACTAGAGATGCACCGATGTATCGATCACTGACATTTAAACTGATATTAAAAACAGATGGTTCATTAATAATTAATAAGGTACATCTATTGTGTTGGATAAGGTCTTGAATTTGGTTTCTGAGCAGCAAATCAGCATATCAGAATGATTTCTGAAGATCATGTGACACTGAAGACTGGAGTAATGATGCTGAAAACTCTTTGATCACAGGAATAAATTACATTTCAAAATACATTCATATAGAAAACTGTTAGTTTAAATTGTAATAATATCTCACAATTTTACTGTATTTTTTGGATCAAGTAAATGCAGCCTTAGTGAGCATGACACTTCTTTCAAAAACATTAAAATTGTACAGACTCCAAACTTTTAAACGATATGTATAATATACTCTTTTGGATATCATGTAAAAAATTGTTTAAAAAAAATCAGCTAAAATAATTACGTTTTTGAAATGAACATACGGAAGAACTACATAATAGTAATTTTAATTTAACTCTAAAATAACCCTAGCCTAATTAATAAACTACATTTATCTACATATTTTTACATGGAAAACATTGTGCATCTTTCAGGATTAAATTAAATGGACAATTTAAATCGAATTCACCAATTCGAAATAATACTACTGATGATAAAGAACGGGTTGAATGAATGTGATAAAAGATAAAATAAAAGTTCATCAGCATGCATTGAATAATCCCAATGTTGTAGCGCAAAAAAAAAACAAAAAAAAATATTGCCACCAAATCATGTGCTCGTGCGACCAGCTGAGAAAGTTAGTAGCAAAAGAGCGACCAGTGGGAAGAATGAGTCTGGAGCCCTGTATAGGCTATACAGTGCATGAAAAGCAAACTGGTGCTCTTCTGTTTCTTTTGGTGTATGACTCCCCCTTGTCTCGTATAAAAAGCACAATAATCGCGGTTGTCTGAAACAACCGTGGTTGGATCAAATAATCGCGATTAGACGGTTATTTAATTATCGCGACAGGCCTAATTCTGACAACATTTCTGTTACTGGAATTCATTTTAATATCATCGTAATGTCACTTAAACTACGTTATCATTCCCAGGACTTATTCATTTGTTATTCAGTTAAATAATGTTCACAATTTAAATAAATTCAAGTGACAGAAAATTTACCTAAAACGAGGGAACAAATTAATACATTTAATTTAAAACGTGGCCACAAATTAAGAAATATTTTTTTTCTGCAAATCATTTGCGGGACTCCGTAGAACAGAGTATCGGACGATATTTGTTAAAATCAGTATCATATACGCCAAAAAAGTACGAATTTCCAGACGCTACTTAAAAAATTAGGGCTGGGACAATAAATCGATGCATTGCGAATTGAGTAATTGTTCTGCATTGATTCTGATATTATCGGAATGCATCGTGCTTCTCTGTTGAATCGATTCTGAACTTAGTTTTTAACATCAGCACTGCACGCATTAGAAACAGCCGTTCTGTGCTTGCTTCCAGTTCCTTACACACACACCACTTGAACATAAAATAATCATTCATAAAGTTTGAAAAGGTTGAAGCGAATTACAAGGGTGTTCATAGAGGGCTGTATTTACATTAATCTCACGTCATAAAAGCATAAAAGGTGCAAGTACATTTAACCACTTACATTACTCAGCCGAACGCACAACGGCTGTTCTTTGTGAGCATTTGAGTGTGCGGTTAAAAACTAGACTAGAGCGCCATCTGCTGTTAAAAACTAAGCTCAGAATTGATTCCAGAAAGAATCGCGATGCATTCCGATAATCTCAGAATCGACCCAAGAATCGCAACGCATCGATTTATTGTCCCAGCCCTATTAAAAATTACTATGTAATTTTTTTCCCCAAATCAAACTGACAGTGTCTTACCTCTCTACAAAAGCTGACGATATTTTCCCACAATTCCTTGGCCTCTCCCTCATCCGTGCGCCTGCGGGCCTCCACATGCATGCTCTCCCGGCGTTTGAGCGGCTTTCCGATTTTGCGCTGATTGAGGTACTGCTGCGGGGTGTGACACGCCGCGCAATGCTTCATCCTCACTTCGTTCAACAGTGTGCAGGCAGGACACATCCACTGACAGGCACTCTTGTCCTGCGCCGACGGGGACGAGACAGAGGAAGAGGAGGTGGAAGTAAAGGCACGCATGTGGGAGTGCGGTTGTTTCCGAGAACAAGACGAGCAGTTGGACGGCTCGGAGAAACCGTGCAATTTGGACGATCCGCAGGCCGTGCAGTGGCCCGCGCCTGTCGGGTTGCGCAACGTACATTTGGAACATGCCCATGAGCTGAAGTCCGGACTGGACGGCGACGCCGGCGTGAATCGCACCGACTCGCCCAGTACGTCGATGACGTCGGCGCCCGAACCCGGCCATGACCCTCGACATGCATCACAACGCCCGGCGGATGACGAGGGAGGAGCTGTGGGGGTGGAGCATCCGGGGCACTTCCAAGAGGGCGGAGACGTGATTGGAGGTGCAGGGTTGTTAGGCTCCTCCTCTTCCAGCACGCTGAGGCGCTTGATTGGGTAGTTGTCTGATGGTGGGAGGGGATTGGTTTTGGTAGGAGGGCATGTTGAGGGCGATGTTGGCGAGGGGGCGGGGTTTAGAGGACGTCCAGGGGGTGGGACTTCCCTTCGGCTGCGAGGCACAGGGTTATTTTGAAGCGAGGACAGGGAAGGGGGCAGAAACGGGACAGGGGGCGGAGACGGGGTTTCGGAAGGTGCTTGGGGTGGAGAATCTTCAGTCAGATCAATGAGTAGTGGCGCGGACGCTCCTGCCGTTTGAGTGGGAAACCCCGCCACGGGTGTGCGCACTTCTGGGACCACTAGCGCTTCGGGAGGGATTTTTGGTAAGGAGAGTTTCCTCGGACCGCCGCATGCCGAGCACGATAACGCCACCGGAGTGTTTACTAAAGTACAGCGAGGACACGCCCATTCTGATGACCCCTCCCCTCCTACAGACACCTCCCCGTTGGGTTCGGCGCACTGGGACTCCCCATTGGCTACCTGACCTTTGGCTTCTGGGCTGGAGGCGGGCTCTACTGGAGTCGGCGGGGGCTGCTTGGGTGGGAGGGGTCTGTTGGGTGTAACTGGAGCTGCTCCGCACACAGAACACGAGCCTAATCCATGGTGATTGGTCAGAGTGCAGCGGGGGCAGGACCAGCGAGGTTCCTCAGCACTGCTGAGGCGCAAAATATGGTTCAAATCCGGCTTCTGCCGAGGAGCTTCACAAATAGAGCAGCGCAAGGAGCCGCTGGAGTTAAGAAAGGTGCAGCGACCGCATGACCAATCAGAATTCCTCACAACTGCGGCCATCGAACCAGGAGAATGAGAGTGACTGAAAAAGAAGGAAAAAGAGAAACAATTAAATACTGAATTAAAGTACCAAGTACAAAGTACAAAAAAGAGAGCAGAACAGAGTTGACAAAGAGAAAGGAATATGTAGAGGGGAAATACACATAGGATTAAATGAAGATAGACACATAAGGAAGATTAATAATACAATGCATTATTAATAAACCAATATTATTAATATACCAATATATTAACCTAATATATCAGACAGGTTGATTAATCAAATGAAATTGGGCCATTATGAGACATCGGTCATACATAAAACCAATTTATTTGATTGTTTTATGCCATGTCTGAGGCCAATTAATGGCAAAAAAAAATCTGGTAAATTGGTAATAAAAGATAGGTAAAAAAATGTATAAACATACTTTAAGGTAGACAAATAGTACCAATATATTAACCTAATATATCAGACAGGTTGATTAATCAAATGAAATTGGGCCATTATGAGACATCGGTCATACATAAAACCAATTTATTTGATTGTTTTATCCATGTCTGAGGCCAATTAATGGCAAAAAAAAAATCTGGTAAATTGGTAATAAAAGATAGGTAAAAAAATGTATAAACATACTTTAAGGTAGACAAATAGGATAAAAATTTTACATGCAAAAAGATGAAATCTTTCATGTGTGTGTGTGTGTGTGTGTGTAGTTAAAAATATATAATTTTAATACATTTTATATAACAAATATTACATTTACAATATATAATAATATTAATAAGCTGAACAAATTAATAAACATACTTAATTTAAAAAGGAGATAAGGAAAACATTTTTTTCAGTGCATGCGAGAAGTCTCTCTATATAAATAAAAATATGCAACAAAGTATTATAAAATTGCATAATATTTCATTATATACTACTACTACTACTACTACTAATAATAATAATAATAATTCACCCTACTCCCTAGATGTCAACCACTAAAAAATTCACATCAGTTGACCATTACTATCAATTATTAAATACCCTTACTCTACATGAGAAATTACAGACTAAAGATCAACATTTGATTAATTAAAAGAGAGAAAATACCTAAAATAATAACAAGAGCATGCAAACATGATATTTGGCAACTATGAAGACCCTTTCAAAACTGTTTTATATACTGTTGGTCTTTGGATCGGTTCCCTGTGAGCGTGCTGAGACATTTGGCCCCGAGTTTCAAAAAAACATTGCATACACGCAGTAACACATTTGTTCTGTGAGTCACAGTCATTAGCACTGGTCTAACAGAACTGGCCCTCATCCCACTCCTCACTGCACTGTGTGTGTGTGTGCGCGCATTATATGACTGACTCGGTAGTGATACTAACCGTCGACTCAAGGAGGATCATGCTGATAAATAATGCAAAGAATCAAAGCTTGTGTGAGTGTCTGATCATATTGTGCGCTCACTGCACTGTGTGTGTGTGTGCGCGCATTATATGACTGACTCAGTAGTGATACTAACCGTCGACTCAAGGAGGATCATGCTGATAAATAATGCAAAGAATCAAAGCTTGTGTGAGTGTCTGATCATATTGTGCGTGTGCATTATGCAGTGCATGATGGGAGTGTTCTGTGACCTGTTAACACTGCTGGAAAGCAGGGAATTATTGGCGGAAATAGTTTTTCCGAATATGCGATATAACAGCATTCCAAACAGCATAATGTTTTTGGTTTCGGGCTGATGAACATCATGTAAGAACAATGTTTACTAGAATCCATTTAAAACAGTCGCATTTGAGTCACATAAGGAAGATCGAGGCAATCTGGGACAGATGAAATCTGAGCGAGGAAACACCCTTCATTACGCAAACAAGGAAAGGACACAAGAGGTGAAAGAGAATTCATAGAACAATCAATTTTTATGAATTCATATGGACGTGTGCATTCAGGCTTGATGTGTCCCATATAGGAGAGACTGTCACACTTTTACTTATTTCTCAGCGTAGGTCTATTTTTAAAAGTCAACTCCTATATACACAAACTTTAAAGTCTCAGCTAAAAAACAACTATTTTATTTGCATTTACATCATTATTGCCCACGAAAAAACAAAGTTTGTTGAAAACTCATTGAACTAATAATGGTGGGGCATGTTGTCACAATGGAACTACCTTCTAAATATCTAGAAACAGTTAACATGAAAATATTAATAAAACAAAAGTATGAAAGGTAACACTATGAAACTACTGTTTCAGCCAATAAATATTGCAATTAATACATTTCAATTCTCAACCTGATATACATGAAAGCAAGTTTCCTAACAAACCAATAAAAATATGATGACCCTGGCATTTTAGTTTAGTAGACAGACTTTTGAAAGCAACATACTAAACCACAGTGTGTGTGTGTGTCAGAGAGAGATACACGGGGAGAGTTTATTCTGAATTGTGATTGGCTGAGGTGATAGGAGCTTGTTGCTATGGGAATAAATCCTCAGTAAAGCCTCAGAGGGCAGAGACTCACTTTCTCTCGATAAAACACTCAGGAAACATCCTGATAACGTTCAGACACACACACACACACACACACACAATAGAGACATACAGCTGGGTTCATGGACAACATGTCACACTGGGACATCTTACAGCACTCATGTCTCAAAGGTCAAGATAAAGGTGAAGTGTGTTATTTTTTGATGTTACAAAACTCTTCGCCTCAGATGAACTTTGAAGAAAAGGAAATGTAACAT